TGCAGAGCAGTCATGGATGGTGATGAAGTAGTGACAAAGCTTCTCTGTATCACAGCCTGTCAACAAGTGACAGGAGGGTGACATTTTTGTCTCTTGCACTTGTAATCTCAAAGTGAAACCCTCATAAATAGATAAATTTCTTCTTGTGGCTGTTTTCCTGATTAGAGTAGTGTCACATTTCCAGAACCTCTGCCCACTAGTATCTTATAGTCTGAACAATTATTTTGAGCATACTCTAATTATATTTTACATTAAATATATATATATATTCCCTTGTGCATTTGACTTCGCAATTTGATTTAGATAATCTCATCTTGTCCATATATTCAAATAATTAATGAGATTTTCTCCTGGTTTCCTGGTTAGATATGACAATATAGGATAATGGATTTGCACAATTTTTTAGCCAAATCTGAAAACATTTGGATGTCTTGAGTCAGAAAGATCTTTGATCTGAAATTTAATTAAGGAGTGGAAAATAGGAAGAGTGGGTGGATGCAGGAGAGGATTAAACAAACAGAAAAGTCTCTGTTCCTTCAAGATTTTCGTCCTGTTAAATGGGTTAAAAAACTCTTGTCATAGAACAGTTGGGTCTTACAAATGGCATAAATTTGAAAATTAGGAAGAGTGGAAAATGAAAACTTAGCAATTTGATTCCTTTCTTCATTTTTAACAAAAATGAGCAAGCTGCAGGGGAGAATAAAAGACAGCTTGAAGTTGAAGGAAGCACATTTGTAGCCATCTATGTCCCAATGAGTAACATTAGGAAGCCATATGTAAGAATTTATTCTTGACTGTAACGGATTGAATACATTTGGTCTTGTCTGAGGGAAGCAAGCCCAAATCTACTGAGTACATGGGTGAAAAAAACGTTGGAAATTCTGGTTACTACAAATGGAAACCAAAGAGCCATGCTTAAATGCTTTCACCTCAGATGAGGTGAAAGTTTCAGTTCCAGTATCAGTGCTTATCAGATAGATGAGAAATAAATTTGTAAATTACATCAGTTATTCTTAAATACTTTACTGGATGTGTAGTAGCTCATAAGTACTGTAATGTTGCAAACCAGCTTCCATAAGAAAAATTATTTAAGAAAATTATATGCATTCTTTTAGTACAGAATATTAGACATTATTGTATTGGTTGATGTCAGATCTTTGTAAGGCTTTGTCTTGACAGCTCTGAGAAGGGGCTTTGGCCACATGCAAGTTATGCCAAGCTAAGAATCCACATGACCTGAGTTAGTCAAGAGTTAAAGAGCTTTTAACAGAGAACAGACTGTAGACCCAAATGATCTGTGCCCAAGTAAAATAATTCAGTTTGATCAATAGCTCAAAATGAAATACAGACCTTTTAGCAGTGGGGGCAGTGTGCTGTGTATTTGTCTTCAGCATGTGTAGGAGATTTGCACTTCCCAGCTCTGCCAGGCTCCCAGCCAGAGGCAGAGGTGATGCTGGATTAAGTGTAATTTCGTGTTTGGTCTCCCATAGATGGAGAGGACCTGGTATGATCCAGCTTTTGTTCCAGGCAAGTAGAAGGACCTGATGAGGTGCAGGTACAAATGCCACGAAACACTACAAATAAAACTGTCACAAAAGTAGTGCTCTTGGAAAGAAGGAATAGCTGTGACAAGTTTGACTGGGAAAACTGTAATTGAGGCAAGTCTAGAATAAGCAGTGTTATCAAGTTGGTTTTCATCAACAGCTAATCCAAATTTAACTAAGATCTCTCGGGTTCAGACTTCATTATCACCTAATGCAGGCTGAACACCTCTATCTGGACTCTTTGGAGATTTGATATAACGCCTATTTAGAGAAGTAATTTGCAAGTGTTAGTCCTATCTGTATGGCCAGAGATGTTCATAATTTGTTTAAAGATGTTTGTATTTGTAAAGATTGAATTTGCTATCAGGGTATTAGAGTGGCATTGACTAAGTCTTGGCATAAGTCTTTGGAGAAAGAATCTCTTGGCCCTGTGTTTTCAGAAAACTGAATGTTGAGTCCCTCTTTCTCTTAGTTGTAGATGCAAAGTGGCAGTCTGAACATGTGTGTGTTTTAAAATCCTGTAAGCAAACCAGATTTTTCAGAATAGCATCATACTAAGAAATCTCACAGTTTTTCTACATCTCCAAAGACACATATAGCACCTTCCTGTCCCTGCCAGAGCATGTATGCAGTGCTACTTCCTCTTGCATGATTTTATGGAGAAGTTCTTCTCAGAAACTTTTATTCTGTGCTTCCTAATCTGTCCCTCCATTGAATGACAGAAATCTCCTTCCACCTAGGCTGCCCTGAGTAATATCCTTGTGGTTTTATACACCTTGAGAGCTAAACAGGTGTGAGATGGAGGTGAGGGCTGTCTCAGATTGATGGTGTATATCCAAAGATACTGCAAGTTAATGGAATTGCAGGGTAATTACACCAGTGAAAGTGAGGTCTTCTTCTGTACTTCTACAATACTTGTGAGAATAGTCTCAAAGTATTCATTTTTTCATGGGGCCCTGACAAATAATATCTGGATCTTTACTTGCCATAGATGTGGGGGAAAAAGACAGTAAGGTCTTTAAAAAATGAAAATGAAGTAGGATCACAAAGGATCACAAAGATTTAGAAAGAGAAGTCTCTCCAAAGGAAAAAAATCAATAAACTATGTCATATAAACAACTTACATGTAAGTGATAAATCTCTCAACATCTGTTGACCAGTGTAAAGATTGAGTTTTGACTTTCACACTGGAGTTTATGTACACTAAATACATGAAATCTAAAGGTACAACTTGTTAGAGATTAAGTGAGATGGCACAGGCAGGCTCCTCCACTCCAGACTCAAGATTTCCGAGAGAAATAACCATCTTTAGTGTTCTTAACTACCTCTGAGCCAAAATACACCATTTTTAGGCACCTATTTATGTTATGTTTCTAAGTGTTTCTAAGTGTTGTGCAGTAAAAGACAAAAGTGATATGAGAAGTGCAACACTGAGAACCACTGATTTATGTGGACTGGAAACTTAGGAGAAGTAGAAAAAGGAGAAGCAGAAGAAGGAGAAGGAATAAAGCTGTCCTGTTGCTCTTGGTTATACTTGGCCTGTTTTAGTTGAAGTAGTTCTGCTTGCCTCTGGCCACAAGCATTTCCTACTGTATTTTACCATTAGATGCTGCATCCTTTACTAGATCTTGAATGGTTTTTGTAGGCTGACCCCTGCACAGTTCTCTTTTCAGACATCCTTTTGACTCTGAATAACCACCTCAGCACCGGTTTTTAAAGTTTTGAGATTACTTACACAATTCTACAAAAAGAGATTCATACTGTGAAAATGCCCCTGGAAGCTACTCTGGAATATGTTCTAGATGTTTACAATGTTCAAAGAACATCTGATTTTATTGCCATGGAGTTGTGGGGCTCTGCTGAAGTAAAGCACTCTTGAACCTTCTTAAGTCCATTTGACAAGATGCTTAAGACAAATTCCATCCTATTAATAGATAAAAGGAAATCCTTAAGAATTGTTATTAAAAAATTATAAAATTAGAAGGGATGATTGCTCATTCACAGCTGTCCTGTATCAGCTTAATTTTGAGTGCAAGATGCAGAGTTTTACAGGTCTGTTTCTATCCAGACACTGAACTGAGCACTGCTGTTCAGTTCTCCTGAAAACTATTTTGGAGTTTAGCTTCAGTGAAATGCTTTGAAAGAACATATTTTTTAAAAGTGCTTATAAATTCCCTCTAGAAGTCACCCTCTTACTTTGCTATCTCATGTTACAAACTCGAATGTATTGATTTGGAGGAGGCTTATCTTTGATTGTTCATTACTCAAGATAACCCTTGCCAGAGTCCCCAAAAACACAAGAGCAAGAAAGAGGCCTGAGAGGTGGAGCAGCAGGATGCCTGCCTAGCCCTGATGATCATCTCAAAGCTGATCTTGTAGGACTGGCTGAAAGGGTGAGATAGGGCCCCTGGGAGATTGCCAGCAAGTCACCAATTAATACTAATTGCATGGGAAAATACTGTAAGGGTGGTTCATCAGGGACTGCATGAGTTCATAGCTGTGCTGCACCCAAGGGCTGTGTGTCTCTTGGTATTTACTTCAAGAAAACACAGTGTTGCTTGCTGCTTTATTCACTTGCAATGTTTTTAGATCCAAACTACAATTAATGTGGAGGAGCATGAAACATCTCACATCTATCATAGAGCTTGGCTTGTGAATATTTGAGTTAAACTGTAATATTCTAATTGGTTTCAGCAGGAATCATCACTGTCTTATCTTGAGCCAGACATTGCTTCTCATTTTCTCATAGGAAGGAAAACAAATCCGAAATTGCATGAACTATATGCACACGATAGTCCTTTCAAAACAAGAAAACTATGGACATCTGATTTTAAAAGGTTTTTTGGCTTTGCCTCTCTGATTTCCAAGGAAAGCTTTGTAGAAAACTAAGATTTAAGCTGCTGCTGTCTCCTCCTCTGCCTAGTGACAGCTGTAAACATCTGCTGAGCATGTCATTTATTGTCTCATCCTCTAGCTGCTCATGAGGATCACGAAGCATCGTGCCTCCTTGAAAATTAAACTGGCAATGCTGTGGGGCAGGAGCGAACAGCCAGCGTGCTCAGAGGCTCTGGAGTGTGGTTACCGGGGCTCGAGAGCAGCTGCTGTGCCTGTGCTGTCCCGGGGATCGCGCCCCGGCAGGAGAGGCGCTTTCCCGGCAAGTCTGGGAAGGGCGCGTGGCTCTGTCAGGGCGCTGCGATTTCAAATGCCTCTTCGTCCTCCTCTCAAAAAGGCAGTCAAGGCTTCCAAGTCCTGTCTGGGAAGGGCGCGTGGCTCTGTCAGGGCGCTGCGATTTCGCCTCTTCGTCCTCCTCTCGAAAAGGCAGACAAGGCTTCCAAGTCCCAAATTGCATTTTTGTCTAACTCCTCCCCTATTCTGGCTGCTTGCTCATGCAACCACCCACGGATCCGAAACAAAAATGTGTGAAGCGAGGCAGGGAGTGCTCTTGGCGGCGCAGATTCCATCTCCTCTCTAGGCACCGGGGTGCTCGTCGTGCCCTGACACTGTCTCGCTCCTGGACACAGCGCAGCTTTGGCTAATCATAAACACATCAGCATTTCTCTCCATTCCTTCTCATCGCCCTGTGCTCCAAGAAGAAGAAGAAGCAAAGAGAGGTCCGTGGCAGCGGATGAGCGTGCCTTTGTGGCACCGCTGGCCGGGCGGGCTGACAGAGGCGGCATTGTTCGCAGGCTGTGCCCCTTGGCAGCCGGGGAAGGTGGGATCTGCGCCCTGCATACGGAATCGGTGAGCGGGGACAGGCCTGGGGAGCTCCGGGAGCTGCATTGATGCCCGCAGGGAGTTCCAGGGCGCTGCTCAAACAGCTTCTCCCGGCGTCTTCTGCACAATGCAAAGGGGGTCTAGGATGAGGAGTCCTTGGTAATCAAAGGTAAAATTTTTATCTTTAGAGTAGCGTAAGTTAGTGGCCATTGCTGCTGTTTGGTTGTTTATTAAAATAAGAGTGATAAAACAGGGAGGAAAGTTACGAAGTCCTCTGTACTCTGCAGGAGAATAAAGCTCCATGGGGGCATCGTGCTGAGGCTTATTGAAGTTCGGCTGTTCCCCTTTATGTGGGCTTAGTTTGCGTTACCAGTAATAAGAAAATCTGTATGTGTTCCCATCAGAGGAAGAAAAGTCTATTTTGTTTCCCTCTCCATTTTACTTTTTAAGCCAAAAGTTGCTATTTATATGCAATATTAAATTAATTCTCCTAATAAAAAATACATTCATATATAGGCAAGGTAAATACTTCTTATTACCAGAGAGTTCCTCACCCCTCAAGGTACTCCCTGGAGTACAATGCATCCTGTGCAGTGGTAAAAAAATTAACATTTGTTGTACATACCTCAGCAGAAAGAAAAATCATTGTTGCATTTATTTTTCCAGCCACCTTGCAATAACTATAATTACACAGACAGTGCCAAACAGATTTTTCTTTGTTGTGCCAGTATTTCTCATATGCCCTTAGTACTTCAATCCTATTTTAGTGGGTTTTAAATGACTATTTTTTTTAGTTTCTAAGTAAAGATAGATTTTGTCCTAGTGTTTGCTGTTCATATTGCTGTCTGTCCTTTGTGGTTGTTAAGTCTGTTTTTGAGAGTGTGTACTGCTATTTGACAATGATAACAAATACAGTCTTAAAAGCACAAACCTTGTGGCTGTTGCTTATTTTTTGTGCCCAGGCTGACATGCTTTTGGGGTGAATGGGCTCAGCTGCATTGAAGACGCCCCCCCGAACTCTAAATCTGGAGCTCTTAATAACACAAGTGGTGTTTGAAAGGTTTTTTTCCCTAAGCAGAGGTTAAAATGAGGAGAGAGTGGTTTGTGTACTGAAGAACTTGACTCAGTTCTGCCAGTGCAGCACCGTTTGTTCTGTGTAATTTGGGAGAACACAGCTTGTACCTCCTGTTTGCCTGGTGGCACATAGCAGCCCCAGAGGACACACGCTGCTTTTGTGCTTCTGCTCAGTTTTAATCTTTAGGGAGCAACTGTTTCAAAGAATAAACACATTGCCTTGTAGGAGAAACTCCAGAAAACATCCTGCTAGTGACAGCGACAGCCGCTGCCCATCATCCCAGACGTTCCTCTGCCAAAAACGGCAGGGCTTTGTGAGCTGGCCTGCCAAAGGCTGGGAGCTGCAAACTCTGTATTCCCGAGGATGCCCAAAGGAAATCAGGTTTCAAAGAGCTGAATTGAAACTGTGAGGCTGATAGCTGCTGGTTCAAAATGCAGAATCTGTGTTTATCCTGGCCCCCTCAGCCCAGGGATTTCTGGCATCGCCTTTCTGCAGGAGTGTCCTGCCCACTTATCCCTACACACCCCTCAGGCTGCTTGGTGGTGGGGCTGGTTGGGCACCAGACAGGCAGGTAATGAGCCTGTTCACTTCCTCCATGCAGGCTTTTAGGTTAAATCAAAATTGCTTGTTTATTATTTTGAATACACTGCCTTATACTGGTGTAGAGCCTGTTACTTTTCTTCTACTCATTGGTTTTAACTAGCAAAGTTTCATTTGCTGTTAGTTTAAAAAAGTGGAGTAAATTCCACAAAATAATATTTGTTTGCTAGATATTGCATGCCTCACTTATACAGAGGCTTTTATAACCCATTTCCTTCAGAGTATATGACACTAAGTGGGCAGGGTCAATTTAAAATAAGCAAAAGCTTCGTAAGCTATTGTATATGTTTCTGTAAACAAAAAGATGCAGCAGAGTTTGGGATGGATATAAGCACAGGCAGGGGTTTTGAGATAATGTCTTAACCAGTGTTCCATCGGTTTTTCAGCCCAGAAGCTTTTGCTTCCTCACTGGGAGAGCCTGTATGAAGACCTGTGTGGATGATGTTATAAGGTAAGGGATACACCTTTGATGGATTCTTTAAGTTCCTAATTTTGCATTGCTACAGAAGATAGCATAGATTCTGTGTGAGAAGTTGCTGCACTATGTCTAATTTCTTCTCAGAGACTTGGTAGTAACAAGTAACTGAGTAAGACTGACTGTTGATGATGATATGTCTTAAATTATGTTGAAATTCAGTTTCTCTGCTACAAGCCTCAAACTGTCCCTTTGGGGAGAGGCTCATGCTGTGTGTCTGTCTGGAGGACCTCTTGGTGCAGCATCATTCACAGTGTTTTATCCAACTTGGTAATGTTACATTAAAACAGGAGTGTGCAGTGTGTTTTCTGATTCCTAGAAATATTGTCACTTCGTGGCATTCCCCTGCCAGCTTTAGTGTCACCTTTCCTTTTACACTCGTCTGTCTGGGAAGCAGTCCCCATCATCTCTGTTCCCCTGCAGACACGAAGCACTCGAGGCTTTTATCCGCAGGCAGACTGATGATCAGTGAGCAGCACCATTCTCACCTCCTCTCCCAGGGCCTCATGCACTGAGTCACCAAATAATTTGTCAATAAATGAAGAATCTGTTTGAAATAAATTGATAAGGAAATGTGGAACTCTTCTGATCTGGGGTCCTAAAAGACAGGCTTTCATACTAAGCAGTTCACAAGCCTGCATGCATATTACAAAGTCTAGCAGTGTTAGTATAGTACAGCTGTGCTGCATATTTCCTTAATCTGCTTGTTTAGAGACACCCAGAATATTCATCTTAATCATTTCCGCTGCATAGTAGGTACTGGAGGAAATGCCAGGGAGAGCCCTGTCACTGGGAAAATGCATCATTTGAATGTGTAATGTAAATATTTTAGCTAACCAAATGTAAACACTGTTTTGCCTTTAGGATGGGAAAAGACTGTCACAGTCAGAAACGAGCTGACATAAGAGTGACCCTGTATAGATGAGATACAAAATTGTGTTCACACATTTTGGTAATCAAAACAGAGCCCTTAATGAATTGCCTAGTGTGAAAGGAATTACAAACACAAATGTGCCTGACACAAGGCATTGGGAAGTTGCTGCTGTATTAATGCTAGAATGCGGGACTTTTCAGGATTCATGGGGATCCAAGGTCTGTGGGGAGGATGACAGGAGATGAGGGAGATAAGATGATGAGAGATGTGCTATGGTGAGTGCTAAACAAAGGCTGGAGACTGGCTGGAGGGAAACCTAAACTTGTTAGTATGCTCTGAATGTCCATGCTACTCCATGCCACTGACTATGACTTGTGTTCACCATGCCAGGACAGTAAATTCAGACGTTTTCAAGGGTTAGAAGATGGTAGAAGCAACAAGTATACTCTATTCAGTAAGAAGCACCTTATTGCATTCACATCTGGGCTGTGGCTTTTCAGCCAGTGGATTCAAAGGAAAGCAGAGTTCTTAGGGAGCTCAGAGTGGTTGCTCATCAGTTCTGCCTGAACTGGCTTCATAAGCATGTGAAGACTTATGTTCAAATGGTGCTTGATAGAAACCAAACACCTGGTTTAACTTTTGGTACTGAAATTGGTCCTGAAAAACAGCATGATCTGGGGTCCTAAAAGACAGGCTTTCATGCTAGGCAATTCACAAGCCTGCATGCATATTAGAAAGTCTGGAATCCTCCCAGATTCCACTTGACTTCATTGTGCAGTAAGTGGTCTTTGGGCATGCATCAGATCGCTAAGCAGAAGAAACATCTGGAGATGATTTTGTTGGCTGTATGTTCTAGCCCTTGAATTGTTAATGTCAGAAGAGGAAGAAGCAACACAGAGGATTTGTCTAGACTCCTTGGATTGCAAGAAACTAGTTGGATCTTATTTCTGAAGGCACAGGTTCATGTAAATGCCCCAGTGAGTAAGCTTTCATTACTGGAATAGCTGGGGATTTTTCAAGGTTGATTTTTGCTTGTATTATCAACAGTGGGTAATATATTAACGTCTGTCTCACATTTGCTATTTCTTTGTTATAACAGCTGGAAATCTGCATTTACACATAGGCCTCAGAGCTAAAAATGTCATTCCCTAGATTAAAAACCCATAACGATTTTTGTTGTTCTCCTTGATAGGAAAGGAGAACTGAAAACACAAGGAAAAGACAAACAGGAAGGGTAGCCCTAGACAATAAATGCTCTCAGCTGGAGCAAAGATTAATCATGTATAATGTAGCCTTAAAAATGTCATTGTCTACCACTACTATAGCAATTTAGCTATAGCCAAACGAGCAAATCTATCTATTTAATTATCTAAAGAAAATAGAAGAAATCAAATATTAAACGTCATCAGTGAAAATACAATGGCTTTTTTTTTTAAGTACAGAGGAAATTTAGAGCCCCTCTTGTGTGGATGAAAAGTGTTCTGCATAGATGAGAATAACTTTATCACAGAATTAAACTTGTGTTGCTAGAAAATCTAATCATTTTGTGCAATAACTTCTTTTAATTATTCTCTTGAATACAGATAATCCAAATCTCCTTTATCTCCCAGACAGATGTATCAGTTTCCATGGGAAAGCATTAATACAGTCAAAAGTAAGAACTTCATTTTCTTCCTTTATGGGCAGGAATATAGCAGCCCTTTTGCTAAAGGGCTGTATTGTGCCTTTAAAAAAAAAAAGAAAAAGAAAAAGAAAAAAATATTTAAAATTAGGTGCTGTGTTTTAGCACAGGAAAAATGGTAGGAACAGATTGCTCTGTAGGGCTGAATTCACAGCATCATTTTTCTAAAATAAAGTCATATTATTTGAAAGCTGATGAGAGAGAGGGAATTCAAGAGAAGGGAAGTGTAGTTGAAAAATTTTGGAAAGGAGATTGTAAACTTTGGGGCAGAAGGGAGTTAGATAAAAGAATCTGTGAGAGTGGGAATAATAATGTGAAGAGGAACAGACTGTGCTGGTGATATCTTTTGGCCAAGGTTTTGAAAAGAATTCAGAATATGATATGCAATCTCTGTCTTTGAGGGGGGGGGGAATGGGAATTTTTCCATTTACAGTAAAGTCGAGTAAGAATGTCATTGCTCCAGCTGTTAAAATATTTTGAAATCTACTTCAAACTGATTATTTATTGCAGTGTTAAAGTGTAGACTATTGTGGACAAAAGAAAAAAAATATTTTGGAATCAATCCCAAAAAGTGGGTTGAAAGTATAATTTATGCTTCTCTGAGAGGGAAGTCCAGTTCAGCTCATTCCAACCCAGTTCTCTGAGGGACTGTTTTTTAGGAAGCCTCTTTGGATAGCTACGGCTGGAGGTGTACAAATCTCAAGGTTCAAATCTGCAAGGGAAACTTGGAAGCCTCTGTCAAAGCCAGGGGTAAATAGGATGCATATTTTGAGGCTGGAAGTGCCATCTGAGTGTGACTTTACAAAGCACGTGAGGACCACGGCATCCCAGGCATCTCTGGCATACACTTGAGAACAGACTTGTGTAAGGCAGAGTTTCTGCAGAAGGTGGATGGGCTACATGGGCTGCTCCTGTGCCTGCAGCTTTTTCAGAAGCCCCTCTTTCATCATGGGACAGAGCAGCCCACCATCTTTGCCTGTTCAGTCATTTCTATGTAACACAGTCTTCACATTCATATCTACATTTAACCAGCTCCAGATGAATAGCAGTAACTTTCAGCATTAGGTAAATATGTCTGTGAAATGAATTTATCCTTCTGCTGTTTGGACTGTCAGTAGCCTTGGACAATCTGCCGTCACCAGTCTGACTTGGGTTCTTAGTTTTGCTTTTGTGGCACAGCCAATTCCATTTCAGTGTATGTGAATTAAAGAGAGTATTCTCTAATAATATTTTATATTTACACGGCACATCTCATCCCAGAGGACTTTATAAATCATGTATATTCAACACCTCTGACCTTTCACAGTCCCTTCAGAGCTGGAGAACAAGCATTTTGCAAAAGCAATAAAACCGTAGGAATTTTTTCTCTGTAATACTGGGGGGAACTCATTAATTACAGAATGAATTTTATGTTCCCTAAGCTACAGCTTCAGTTTGTAAAGACCTTTATTGAAAATTCTTCAAGATAAGATGCATGATCCTACGTTTTGTGTACACCATGAAGAAAGGGCTAATCCATCCTTTTAAAACTGAACCCCTGGAAATATTTCACTCTTGCATCTAAATGAACATAAAAGTGTCACTGCCTCTATACCTCTGCTTCATTTTAGCAGTAAACTGTCACCGCTTCCTGAAAGATCTGCCCAAAATACTATAGTCTGCCTTCCTCAGCTGCTATGCATCCTCCCATCACAGTGTGAGAAATACAGCAAAATAGATGCATGAGAAAACCTATTTACTTGCTTTTGAGGAAGTCAAATGTGACTGATCCTCTGAGGTATCAAGCTGAAGAAATGCAGCATGTCTGTGCATTTGGTCAGCATATGCAGAGGAGGAGGGATGAACAAGGCAGATGAGGAGGAGGATGGCAATGAATTAATCTTCCTGGCATTCAGAGCCTCTTCCTGTGAACATTAGGAGGGTGACCCAAAGCCTGTGGGTATCAGTTAGTGTCTGTCCCTGCAGCACTGGGTCAGTGAGGGACAGTGTGGGGCCCTTTGTCTTCTCAGGGCATCCTTCTTGTGGTGCACAGAGGCTCAGCTTATGTGCAGGACTGCCTCTACCTCAGTGGGATCGGATTCCCTCTACTTGGAGAAAAAACTCCAGAGGAGCTGCTTTCCTGAGTTGTAAAGAAGAAAATGGACATGCAGCCTGTCTGCATACAGTCTTTGCTAGGCCATTTTGTGGGTTGATTTGGGCCTTATTTAGTCTGTTGTTTTAAACAGAAGGACAACAACAATTCTAGTTGTACAATTCAGCAAATGGATTACAAAACCACAGTTAACTGTGACTGTCATGGATGGTAACTCAGTTAATAATAGATTAAATAATCTTTACATTTTCTATGTATTGTTTTGCCATTTGTTTCTCTTTGTAGCTTGTGTGGATTTAATATAGTTTATTCCATTTAGGAGCATCACT